CTACCGAAATTTTTTTAAAAAGCATGTCACTGGCCAAGCGCGGTGGCTCACACCTATAATCCTAGCACTCTGGGAGGCCGAGGCGGGCGGATCGCTCAAGGTCAAGAGTTCGAAACCAGCCTGAGCAGGAGTGAGACCCCATCTCTACTCAAAATAGAAAGAAATTAATTGGCCAACTAAAAATATATAGAAATAATTAGCCGGGCATGGTGGTGCATGCCTGTAGTCCCAGCTACTTGGAAGGCTGAGGCAGGAGGATCGTTTGAGCCCAGGAGTTTGAGGTTGCTGTGAGCTAGGCTGATGCCACGGCACTCTAGCCCAGGCAACAGAACAAGGAGACTCTCTCAAAAAAAAAAAAAAAGCATGTCACTACTTACAAGTTATCTTCTGACTGTTTTGTTGTATTTTTTTTTCTAGAACTAAATATAGAGTTTATATGATTAGTAACATTTCCTGTTCTGCAGTTTTTTTTTCTTACAGTATTCTGCATTATAAAAAGAAAGGTATATAGCTGGGTGTGGTGGCTCATTCCTATAATCCTCGCACTCTGAGAGGCTAAGGCAGAAGGATCGCTTGAGGTCAAGATCTCCTGATACCAGCCTGAGCAAAAGAGCAAGACCCTGTCTCTACCAAAAATAGAAAAAATGAGGTGAGTGTGGTCACACACCCCTGTAGTCCCAGCTACTCTGGAGGCTGAGGCAGGAGGATCGCTTGAGCCCAGGAGTTTTAGGTTAGAGTGAGCTAGGCTGACGCCACGGCACTCTACCCAGGGAGACAGAGTGAGACACTGTCTCAAAAAAAAAAGCATTTCTTAGTTTTTGTTTAAATACAACAAGCTTTATTTCCTGTATGGAAACAGTGATGTCCCCAGTGAGTCCTTTTGGCATAAAGGAAGCAGCTCTATTAAATTGGCTTTCTGACAACTTGCACTCCACAGACTTCCAGAACCTTGAGCATAAATCAGTATCTTTTTTTGTACTTCAGTCTTGCTTTACGAGTAGTTGGCTTCAATCCAGAGTATCTTTTAAAATCTCTTGTTTAATTGTTAAAGTAAATTAAAAGGTGATCACTGTTACAGCAATAAAAACATGATTGTATTTATCAGGAATCCAAACTTCCAAAACATTAAAAAATACATTTTGGTAATTACTACATAATGTCATGGCTGTAATTTTCTCTAGCATTTTGAGATGTTTAGGCTTGCTATATATATGCCAAGTATTCTGTATATATTTATTAAACATTTTTATAGTGCTTGCTATATGCCAAGTATTCTAGGCACTTTCCAAATATCTCACTTAATCATAATAAGAACTCAGTAAGGTAGAGACTACTATTATCTCCATTTTACAGATGGCCTGTCCAGGATCACAGGACTAGTAAGTGACAAAGCCAGGATTCAAGCCCAGGTAACCTGGCTTCGGAGTGAGGCCTATTTCATGGGTGTGTGGCCTATGCAGTCACATAGGGTCCCATACCTGGTTTAATACTCTGCTGTTACTGTCTTGAATTGCTTACTTTTTAACAAGGGACTCAACATTTTAGACCTCACAAATTATGTAGCTGGTTCTACTTGAGACTTTGTGTTCCTGATGGTGCCGTGTCTACAACAGAAGCACAGCACCTAGTGCAGTGTAGAAACGTTATCGTTGCCTGGCCCAGGTAGCTCCTCAGACGTGAATTCTGTTCCCCTCTCTCTAAACTCTGCTCCTTCAACAAAGCAACAAAAAATGAGAAGACCTTCTCCTATAGTTTTTGAGTTTATATATATCTTTTCTCTTAAATCTTTGGTTTTATAAGTATGCTACAGAGCTAAGAAGTGGTAAATGATTAATGAAGATTGAATTTTAGTGAAACGATCACCCACAATGATGTAAAATTAAAATCCCGAGATTTTTCTAAAAGAACAAGCATTTCGTGTTCTTTTAGAAAAACTCTGAATCAAGTAACATAGGCACATCTGCGATCAGGACATTTTCTGGATGTCCTAGGTGGTGAGAGCACTTTGCTGTCTGCATGCAGTGGCCATGGGGCAGCCAAGTGGTAGGTAGTTCATCCTGCTTTGGGTTGAAGCCTCGAGTCTCAAGTCCTGGCTCTGTTTCCACTGACTATAGACTTGGAGTATCAGACAGCATGTTGTTGTGGTTCAGCCAGAGGCTGAGTAGAGAAGTAATTCACTACTTTTCTAAAGAGAAAGTGATTTTATTTTTTTTTAGGGACAGCAGCATCTGCATTTCATTCATGTTTGAGTCTCTCTTTGCTCTGTGCTTTGTTCCTAAGTGGCAGGAGGTAAATAGATGCTGAGGGGCCGAGCAGGCGCGGTGGCTCAAGCCTGTAATCCTAGCACTCTGGGAGGCTGAGGCTGGCCGATTGAGGTCAGGAGTTCAAAACCAGCCTGAGCAAGAGCAAGACCGAGACCCCTGTCTCTACTATAAATAGAAATAAATTAATTGGCCAACTAATATATATAGAAAAAATTAGCCAGGCATAGTGGCGCATGCCTGTAGTCCCAGCTACTTGGGAGGCTGAGGCAGCAGGATTACTTACTTGAGCCCAGGAGTTTGAGGTTGCTGTGAGCTAGCCTGACGCCACGGCACTCACTCTAGCCTGGGCAACAAAGCGAGACTCTGTCTCAAAAACAAACAAAAAAAATAGATGCTGAGGGAAAGTAGACTTTCTGCGCCTCGGGGTAGCTTCCTCAGGCCCACAGGTAATCCTGCTGCCGAGCCGCCTGTCAGGGCAGAGCTTACAATTCTCAGACCAGGAAGAGTTGTAGAAAAGATGCCATAATTTTTTCCAGAAACATATGTCCCAGATGTTTTGCAGAGCTTTAACTTAGTGGTTAGCCTGGAATGTCAGTGAAAGAATCTGTGTGTGTTATATCACTAAAGTTTAGAAATCTCTTCCCCGGGTTCAGGCTGCTGTACACACATTCAGAGCCAGGCTGAGGCACATGTTATCATGTCTTCCTGCTCCATTCCAGATTATTTGGTAAACAAGTGCACAAGTGCGTGCTCTGTTGTTATTGTTATGGCTAATTTGAGTCCACAAGGTCACACTAGCAGAGGAGGCTGGTGTGAGATTAGAGTAGGGGGCAGTTTCCCTGCTGTGTATTTCTGTGACATTCAGAAAGATAGTGCTCTAGTCTCAACTCAAACTAAAGACGATCAGTAGCTAGCTTGTCTTTTCCAATTTCTCTGGAATGCAACTTTTATTGTAAGAGGATGTTCATGAAAAATTAACTGAATCAGTGTTCAAATGAGAGGCAGGGAAACCACACATCCTGCCCACACCTACTTCCCTAGAAGATCTTTATCTACAGTTCAGCTATTCTAAAAGGTCTCAGCAGTTTGCCAGGTCAGAAGGTCCAACTGTTTCAAATAGGACACCCAAAAATCATGACAGGAAGCTTTAGCCTGGAACGAAGAGTGCTGTGAAATCGTGTCAACAAGAGGAATGTTGTACAATTTTGAATTAAATAGCAAGAGGTCCTTGCTAGAAAAGAGATAACCCAAGCTTCCCCTT